CCCAGATCTGACCCCATGTTGAGGGCTTCCTCCTCAAGCTTCTGCCTCCTGCCTGCACCTTGGACGCTGTTTGACTGTGCAAGGGGATGGACATAGCAAAAGGCACTGCAGAATGGCACTCAAAACCTAACATGACAAAGCAAAACTGAGAATGTGCTCCAACACCAACCAGAATAACAGGAAAAGGTTTTTTAAATGTCTTTAATACAAATCTATATATAGAACATTCCATTTTCAAAAGGTCACCTGTTCTGGAAGGAAATATTAAAACTAAAGTAAAAACTGCGTAAAACCCAGTTGGATTTGGATCACTAATTTGAGCCTAGAAGTTCAGCATGGCTTGTGTGTGGTGGCAGGGTGACCACAACCCCATTTAGTGCTGCTGGGAACACCAGCCCAAGAGCCCGTGACAGCCACCGTCCCCTCCGTGCAGCAGCGCATCCATCACCACCAAGCACACGGTACCCACCACCACAACTTCAATCCGAACACGCTTCATCCCTCTCGTGACGTGTTCTCGCTGCAGCGTGGCTCCTCAAACGTGTCCCAGTACATTATCTGGTGACAGATTTATGATGGGAAGGACAAGACGAGAAAACAACATTCGTTCTTCTCAGCAACCAGAGCTGCCTTAGCCTAGGCTCTAAAAAATGAAATGTATATTCATCCAGCTGGATTTCATTGCTCTGGGTTTGGGGTTTTGGAGGGGCTTTTTATTGATTTTTTCTTTTTTCTTCAAGAAACCTATTGAATATATATGGAGAAAAGATATAGTGTGAAATAGCCAGGAGAAAATGAGCAGTAGGGCACAGAAACAGAAACTCATATGAAAGAAAACTGAGTGCATTACACTTCCCAAGTGCCCCTCTCTGAGGATTTTACCGCAATAACTTAATTTCCTATTTGCTGTTAATAAAAATACTGGACAATCTTAAGGGACACTCTAAGGGATTTATTATAATCATTGTCACTACTTCTTTCTAACTTCTGTTAATATACCTATAGTGTTAAACAGGATACAACATGCCCACATTTTTAAGTACAGAAGAATAAAAAATGGAATTTGAGCTGACATACAGAGAGATACTGGCCATTGTCCTTTACTGGAATTATTTCACCATATGAAAAGAGATGATGTGACAAAGCAATTCAGCTGTGGTCAAATAATCATCAACATATTTCAGAAGACTGTTGGGTCCAGTTTAATATGCTTGCGGTTTTTAGACTTAATTTTAATAATTTCAGTCATATACTCCAGTTGTTCTAACGTTTCACAGCAGAGATTTACTGCTAGACCTGACCTGAAGTGAGTCAATTCGCTGTAACTATTGGTTAATAAATTCTGCATCAGCTGAAGGCAGGCGTTTGGCTGAGGCCAGGGACACAAAACCCATGAGCTGTGAATGCCAGGTTTGCAATCACCCCTTGAAATCCAGTTTACAGCTCCTAACAGCTCAGAGTTTGTTAAAGCTCGATCTGGTTCTGCCACGTTGTGTCACCAGAAAGAAGTTACTGTAACAAAAATCTGATAAAGATTGAAAATTTGTTCTCCTTGGGGGAAGAGCATATGGCACATACAGAAAACCTTGTATTAACAGAAGACTGTAAAATATTCCAGATATTCAGAACTATTGTTAACCTTTTGATATGTACTACCCAAAGTAGAAAAGTTTCTATTCATCTTAAAATACAGCATTCAAAAAGGACTCCTCAATGTGAAACAAAACCCGTAAAGTTTGAATGCTCCCTCAGATCCACTGGACTGTGTTTTTCAGATCCACTGACTAACGAATATCAGGTACTGAATTACCAATCTGTTTTGTCTACGTTAGGGAAAATCTAAGACACATCAATAGCTCAAGCATGCACTGGACCTGTCATTTTAGCCATGAATCTGAACAAATGTTTTGAAGACCATCAGAAAATAAGCTTGACACAAAGATACCAAACCTATTCTGAATGGCTTTGGACAAATATTATTATCGACATGGTAAAAACAGACCTTAAAGGGGAACTTTATTACTTAGAAAACCTACAGGTAAGCATCTCAGGAAAAGCAGAGTAGAAATAACACCAGAGCACAGCACTTCAGGTCACCCACAGCCACATCATCCCATGGCTTTATCCCTAAACTCCCAAATACTGCACCAAAAGTGGCGTCTCGGACACAGAGGAACTGTCTTTGGTAGGTGCATTTGCTAACGATCAGCACAAAAAGCTCATTTCAAACCACGCAAACAATGACTCAGTGCTTAAGTTGTATTCTCAGAGCTAAACTCCCCCATCGCTCATTTTTCTACCCAATGCTTTATTCGCAGCAGCTCAGAGCTGTGTTTCCAGCTCAGAGATCTGTCTTTTCCTGAAGAACGAGACAACCCATCCATAACAGGACACGGAAAGCCGAAAGCAAACCACGGAGATGTGTTTCAGACCTGTGAGCTCTGAATACAGCTTTTGTTATTAGCATTTCACTGCTGAATCACCATAAACAAAAATGGCCTTACCTTTAACAGATTTTCAAACCTGAGCAATGTATGATCAGGCAGCAGCTAAAAACGAAGCGTGGAGCAGCTCCAGCGCCATGGCTGAACCAGACACTTCTCACTAAGCCAAATGCATCTAGCTTTGCTAACAGAAGAGACAAAACACTGAGGAAAATACATCTACAATTGCTTAAAATACGTCAAGCTTTTTATAAAAGAAGAATAAAACATTCTCTAAAGACTATTTATTTTAAGGATGTTTATTTCCTACAGAATTTCATCCCATCAAAACACCCACTCAAATTTCGAATACATTTACATGCATAAATTCCTAGATGACTGCAGCTGGAAACCACACGCATAGGATGTAATGAACAGCATTTCCTACTGTATGAACCACATTTTTATCCATATAATATTAATGTAGAAAGTGAAAACATGTTCCAAGTCTTAATCCAGATCTACTTGCTGCATTATCTGAAGTTTCATGACCGCAGAGGAACTTTACAACCAGAAAGATCTGAGCTTTCAAATACGAAGAATTATTTTCTAAACAAATTTGCTATCTCAACTTTGCAAAAGCAGGAAAATAAGGAGTTACTGCTCATATTATTTAACAAAAAATGTATTTTGGCTCTCTAAAATAAACTTTATTCATCTAGATATAACAACAGAGACTAGCGTGGGGGAGAAGTAATAATCATAGTAATAAAACCAAATCTTCGGAGCATGGCAATTCAGTTACCAGCAAGTTACACTCCCCTTCACAAAGAGGGCAGACAAGAAGACATGAGGAGCAGGAGGAGGATGAACAGTTGTCAAACCAGCAATCAAGAGAAAAAGAACATGCTCAGGAAATGCCGAACAACGACCTGCAAACTCCAGTGAGGCACTCGAGCTGGAGCACCAATCACCCAGATAGGGAACAGCAATATTCAGATGACTCCTGCATGCAAAGGCTGAGCAAACCCCAGAGAAAACGGCTGCACTTTGATGCGTTATCTCCCCGTAAATATCTGCAAGCAAAGAAAGACCCTACCAGAACAGAGATTACCCCAGCAAACAGAACCAGATGTTGGACAGACCAGGCACAGCGTAAACCCTTCCAAATGTCTGTACGCAAATGTGAGAGAAACAAGGGATTAGACAAGGGTTGAATTGGTGGTGCTAATTAATAGATACTTTGATTTAAAGGTGAAGACAGACACCAACTGTTGGCAGAAAGCTTTGAACAAGTTGCATGACATGATAGCAAGGATAAAAAAAATGACCTCTCAGTGAGTGATCTCCACAGAAAAGTGTGATAACTTAGAATTTCCTGAGTTGCAATATTAGAAATGTGTGGTTGAGAACTATCATATGCCATTAACAAGCACATATATAAACCAGTAGAGTCCTAGCAATTAAAGATGTACCAGATAATTCACCTTCCACTGAGAGGGGAAAAAGAGCTATACAGTTATGTCTCACAACTGCCTGCATCTTGCTTGACATAAACCACATCTGATTCTTCAACTGAAACTAAATCAAGTAATTTATTTGTTAAAACATATCCAACTGCTGACTGAGTGACAATTTAACTGGGCTGTTTGGTCAAGTTAACCAGATGATTAAACACTGTTCCTGAGAAGCAGTGCTCATGGTCTCAACTCACAGACGTATGATTTATTGAGACAATAAATACCTGAGAGTAAAACTAGGTGTGTGTGTGCTGCAAAGGCATAATCACATTTTCTCAACTATAAAGACTGAGACTGTTAATTCATTAATTTATTGGACATAACAGGTATTTAAAGCAAGGAACATTTCATAGAAGAGATTATTTCATCCTGCTTCACACAGGCAGGTTATTTCACACATTGTTTCTAGGATCTTGATGCTGCAGTAACGTACTAGAGCCAATTAAAAAGGTAATTAGATGGGTTTCCTCCTTCCAGTTTTTCTGAGGTGAAGGGGAAGCAGTAAGGGGTGAGCAGTGGCAAAATGAAGTCAGCAGAAACAGCGTTCCCATTCCCACACCGCAATCACACAGCAGCCAAGAACAGGAAGGAATTCCCAGGCACCCGACTGACCACGACCACACCTTGGCCATGCGGCGTGTTACCATCACAGGGCTCTACTCTGCAGCAGAGGCACTCTGCTAAAGACAGACGAGTTCAGGTGAAAATGTTGTTGTTATTTCTAGAATGAACCCTGGAACAGGAACACAAAGTCAGCACACTGCCCAGCCCTGAGAACCACGACAAATAAAGTGCGTGGGTAAGGGTCACTGGTGTTGGTGTTTATCGGGTGCTTTGAACAGCAGAGCCTGGTTTGCCTCAATTACACACAGTGAATGTTGTCCGTATCAGAAATCTGAGAAGAGGAAGAACTTTCTAATTGAACACAGAAGTATTCAATTAATGGTAAAATCGCATCCATCCTCCGACAGTTCTCTTATTATACTCCTTATAACGCTGGTATACTTTAGCAGAGATTGTTTACTGTACAAGAAATCAGTCCTGACTCTACACGTACCTTGTCTGGGAAACTCATCCGACTCCCTGTGAACCAGGTCCGAAACGCGGTTCCCGTAGTGCATCCTGGTGTCGTGGTCGTACGCCTTCAGCGTCTCGCTGGAGCTGTACGACTTCTGCGTGGGCACCCTGCAGTCCTCGCTGTCCAGGGAGGAGCTGGTGTAGCGACACTCCTTCCCGCACCGGCCCCGCGTCAGAGAGCGGTGCCTTCTGTCCTTTATATCCATTGCTCCCAGCCAGGCAGGACGTGCTCAGCAAAGCTGCTCTTGTATTTGATGTCAGTCACTGTCACCTATAAACAGGAAAGGATAACACAAGAGTGAGCCACGCTGCTACAACATTTTGTTTCATTCTGCTTTCCTTGACTTATCCTTGAAGAACAAAGCGGCACCGATCGAGAAGAAAGAGAAGACCCACATGATGCATTCTTAGAAAATGAAATAATTGACCTGAATGGGCGGGGGGAAGAAAACCAAGTGCTGTAAGAGAATTGTATTCTATCCACGTGATCATCTCACTGAAGAGTTTAAAAAATAACGGTAAAACAAAAGCAGAGTTATCTTTTGATTTCTGAACGAGCACTGACAACGGCGCAGAGCTGACAGAGCAGCGCCTGTTCCCGTTATGCAACGGCACAAAGAAACAGGCTCCAAGCAGCCGCAATCATCGCTGTGTCTCCTGCAGGAGGGCTTGCCATTAAGACTGAAGAGTGCAGGAGAGTTGCAGAGAGGAGCCCGCTCCTGTGCAGCATTAATGCACTGCAAAGGTGTGTGTTACCCGTTAACAACGTGGTTACGAGCAGCAGCAACTGACTTCACTGCCTCCAGATAACAGTGCAAGGTTGGACCAGGCCCCTCCAGGGGTCCTGTCCAGCTCTGCCACTGCTGCATTTTCACAGCTCTCTGGAGGCACTTTGGGAACTGGCTGCTCCTGTGCACCACAGACCATGACCATGGCTCTTCTTCATGATCCCTCGCCATGACCAGTTCATCCAGCTTGGCAGTTGGAGCTCTCCAACATGGTGTAAACACCTTCTTGCTCACTGGACTAGAAAGAGAGATCTTTATGGCCTCCATCGCTGGGACACCTTTACTGTGGCACAGACACTTCAATACACACCCAGTTAGCATGCATAACCTCCAAAATGAAAGGTACCGTAGAAAGCAAGAAACACACCAAGCAGGAGCACCCTGGGGTATGCTGGGGTACACTTATTTCACGTTGGTATTGTATAGATCCCTTTCTCTCATGGCATCCCATGCCCAGGTCTGTACAAGTCCTGAGAAATCCTCACGATCACACTTTCTGCTGGAAATTACATCTTGCCCCACAGAAAATACCCAGATTTGCTAATGAGCAGACATGAGAAGAAAAGCTCTGCTTTTCTATACACGGCTAAGGAGGTGAAAGGATATTGGTGGCACATTTGGCTGGGAAAGTTGGAGAAGCCTTTCCTGCTGTCCCCTCTCGGTGCAGGTGCCAACCTGAAAGCCCCCCCAGCAGGAGGGGGCAGGTCCTGCACCCCAGTCCAAACCACCCGGGCAGGAGCTGCCATGTCCTTCACTGCTGCAGTTCACACCCACAGGAGAGGGCACAGCATCAGTGTAAGTATGGGCTGGACCACTGCTTTCTGGTGGAATAGCTGCTGTCCTAGGAGAGGATACGTGTGCTGGGCCAGAGGAGCCGGTGAACTTGAGAAAAGGCTTCTTGGCTTCATTGAGACTCTGACATTTAGACTTGTTGTGTGTAGTTTTTTTCCTGTCTATACTTTAAAGAGGAATGTTAGGTAACCAGGAGGAACCAGCTGCTCTCAGTCTCCCACAGGTGCTCTGCAATCTGTGAGCGAGAACAAGTGCAAACATGCTTACTTTCTTCTCCTTTTTCCTCTTATTTTTAACTGTGATGGCACATTTCAGAGGAGGGGGGGAGAAAACCACTAAACAATACACACAGAAAAACCAAACCAAACCAAAACCAGAAAACATTCAGCACTGACTGGACTGACAGGAGAAAAAAATCTCGTAGATTCTTCTCTCAATGTCATCTCTGCCTTGGGGATTTCTGCAACAAAAAGAGTCGGGCAAAAGCCGTTTCATAGCCCTGCCAGCAAACCACTCCTAAAATCCAGACACCAGTATCACCACACATGGCTTAAAACACGGTGACGTAAACTGGTCACACACTGCTAGAAAACTTTTCCCACAGTTGTTGTAAGCAGCTGAAATGCTGCTTCGCCTTCACGTTACCCCTTCCCCGTCAGACACCAACATCTTTATGTGCTGGATTCCTGGAAAGGCAAAGCGCGACAGCTTTGCTTAAGTGCGAATAACGGTGAGATTCAGTTTGAGTCTGAAATTCCCCATGTTCTTCGACTTATCTGTCTCAAGGGCACTCCATGAATGGTTTATTTTGAGGAACTGACCTAAATAGGGACTGATTTAATAATTCCTTTTGTTTCAAAGGATTTCACTAAGACCGCTCATACTGACCCACTTATAACACACAGAAGTACAAACTAACAACTGATTTACACTGCTTTTCCCATCTGTCATTGTTTTAAATCCTTACAAAGCACAAACAGCACCTCACTTTGGGAACTGGGCACTTCTGGTGTGCAGAAGGCAAGTTTCAGAGGTGCAGGGTCCCCCCGGCTCCAGTCCTGTCCCCCATAATAAAGCAAAAGCAAAGTAAAATCAGTACGTGGCATGGGGGAGGACTCCAGATGAACGTTAAGGGCTCCGCTAAAACTCTATTTAAATGTGAAGCTGACTCGTGCACTGATCTTGCGTTCTGTGCTTATTTCTTGCGTTCTGTGCTTATTGCCCCCTCCGCTGTTGGGGTGCACGTGGCCATGGGCGCTGCCCCTCACAGCACAACGCGGCGATCACCGTGAGTTCAAGGGGAAACAAAGCTCCTCACATTCACTTTGTGCCCCCAAACACCCCAGCACAACTGCATCAAAGCATTCACAACACTGGGTACAATCTCAGAAATTTAAGAGCAGCAGCAGGACACCACGTACCAACCTGTTCATTAAAAGCCTGCACTCCTTTTCATCATCCACAATTGGCAATAAGCTCGTGACTTACAGATCCAAATGCTGTTCGTTATTTTATGCAAAGATTAATCTTGAAATGAGAAAGTTCAGTAATTCAGCACAGTACAAGTTTTCGGGGAATAAATAAAAGGGTTATTTAAGTCCTGTATTTTTTGCTGATTTTTATATTTGTGAAGAAATGAATCTCCACTTCCGGATCACCTTTGCCTTTTCAAAAACGCAATAAATACAATGCAATTTCTTAATGAAATACTACTACAGTACGTCTGCTTTGTTGCATGAAATGATGTTGATGACGAGTATGGCCAAAAATCAAAGTGCATTTGGACAGTCAGGTGTAGCAACGCAACCTCACTCTCCATTGATAACTCTGTCTGCTGAGTTTTTATAGCTTCTCTTTTCTCTCCAAATACTGAATTTCCCTTTTACTGTAGCTACTCTATGTCTTGCACTGAAAATTAGTCATGTTTAGTGTAAGATGTGAAATAGTTCATTCAGAACAGTGTTGATGAATGATTCAAGTTGAAGTAATAGAAGCCATACAGTGCTCACAGACACTTGTCCTGTGCTCTACTGCAGAGGGGGAAAAAGCTTCTTTTCTTTTCTTCTAAAAATAAATAAGTAAATAAAGTAAATAAAAGCTATAGGAAGTATTTTCAGACTAAGGGCAGTCAAAATCCTAAGCACAACAACAAAATCAAACACCGTGCCAACATTTATATCACATGTGTATTTTTTTCCACACAGCTTTATTTCCTGACTGTCCTGTGAGATTTCTGTACCCCAGGACGTTCTCACAAACCCCAGCGCTGAAAACTGCTCCCTGCACCACTACCTGGCTATGGACAAGGGCTTTGTGCTTGTGCAGGCAGCCAGGACTGCAACCAGAAAGAGAACACACGGTTTGTTAAAGCAGAACCAGTTCTAACACCATAACAAATACACTACCTTGGTATCCTGGTACCACTCAATAATACCTGTAACTGCTGTCCTGGGTCCAAAATGCACTAACAGACCAACCTCTGTATCTGACAGAACGCTGACCAAAATGATGAACTCCTAAGTATGCTGAAGATGCCTTAAAAAGGGAAATCTAAAGAGCTGGAAGGTCAGGTTTTTCTACCAAGACTCAATTCCCTTTAAAAATAAATAAGATTTCACATAGAATTGAGTTTATCTGACACAAATCGATAACATCATTAAAATCAATCAGTTAACCAATCCGATCATTATTACAGGTCTTGTAGGAACACAGTTGTGCTGAATATGACACGCACTGGTCGAAAGGTAGTTCGGAAGGTTTTTAGGCATTACTGGAGTGCTTTTAAAACATGTGCAGCCACTTACAGAAGTATTCGGGTGCTTCCCCCGGTGTGAAAGGGGTGTTTTTTCACAGCATTAGCTTTTTGAGTCTTTTCAGGCCAATTTCAAAGAATGTCTGGCGCACAGACTTTAAACTGAATTCACTTCTCATTCAGCATTTGACGGAGCTAATGCTCAATTGTTTCTAGAGAGTTTACAGAGGAAAATATTTATCTTCCCATTCAACAAACATTTAACTAAAATTATGTTTTGCTTTGTTTTCCCACTGAGGATTGAATCTGACACTGTAACACAGAAAAGCAGCCTGCGCTCGTTGATGTGATTTTAATTATTGCAGTCACAGTTCTCCTTGTTTTGAAGTAGGAAGAATTTAATAAAGCCTAAATTTGGGGCTCTGGTGCTAATGCCAAGAGGAGAGGATTTCTTCCAACAAATCCTGTTTCGTGGTCTGAGCAATGCAAAGAATTCCTGACAGGTGAGTTAACGCCAGCAGCGTGCGGGTGTGAGCCCAAACTGGAGACAACCACATCTGCTTTCCAGAGCCCGGTTATAGCTGTAAGTACCGTTAACGAGAAGGCCACAGTTACTGTTTCTTTTTCAAATGCTGTAAATCTGAAGTTTTCTTTGGTACCAAAAACTCCTTTCTGTTTAACAGTGCAAGGTTAATAAACACTTTGCAAATAAGGCCATGATCTACAGCACAGACCTTCAGAGCCAGCTTTACCTGTACCGCTTGGCCACGTGAGACTGAGCACGCTCGAAAACGGCACGGACGTCATTCTGGTAACAGAAAGCCTCAAAAAAGAAAAGGCAGTGGAGGAGTCTCACATAACCTGGAGGGGTGGG